TGGGGAGTTCCACAGGCTAATCGCACATTGCGTGAAACAGCCTTTCCTTGGCTCAGTTTTGAATTTCCCTCTTCTCACTTCCGTGACTGGCCCTTGCTCTCGTGTTATGAGGTGAGGAGAACAGAAGCTCCCCATCTCCCTTCTCTATCCCCGTCAGTCATTCATAGACTCTTAACAGGTCCCCTCTTACGTTCACTCTAAGGTGCCAGTCCCAGTCTTTTCAATCTCTCTCCGTAGCGGGTTTTTCCAGGCCCCTGATCATTCTCATTGACTGTCTCTGAACCCCTCTGGTTCTGCACTGTCCTGTGTGCAAGGGGGTGCCCAGGGCAGCTCATGGGTTGCAGAGGAGGTCACTCCATTGACTGATATCAAGACATTAGACTAGCCCTGATGTTATTCTCTATCCCCTTCCTCCAAAGCAGCTCCCCATTTGTCCCTTCCAGGGGCGGACGGTTCTTTCAGGTATTGCCGTCTGCACTGGTATTGCGGCACTGGGCATCGCCAGATCCCCTTGATAGCTTTAGCAAGCAGCCGGCGCGTGTCTGGCAGGGCTGCTTTTCCCTTCCCAGCTGGAGCGGCTCATTCCGGACAATAGCCAACTCGCTCCCGGTCGCTGACCCAGTAACTGAACTCCTGGCTCTAACCAGCCCCGTTCCTCAGAGCACGGTGAATGTCGGACGCCTGGATTATCCCCCAGCAGCGTCACCCCAGTGCCCAAGGTACAGCTCCTCGATCAGCCTGACCTAGCACTTTCTCTCTCCTTGCAGACATTGACGAGTGCCAGCGAAACACCACAATCTGTGAGCCCCACGGGAACTGCATCAACATGCCAGGGAGTTACATGTGTAAATGCAGTTGGGGATTTGGGAAGAGTCATAAGGATACGTCTAAGATCTGCACAGGTACAATGGGAGCTGGAAAGAGTCATGACAAAGGCATGATGTTTCTGGCTTGTCTGCAGTGTTGCTACCGTGTGGCGTTGCCTTAAAGCCCCACCTCCCGGAGTCACGGGATTCCACTTTTGGCTAAAATCAAAATTAGGGCTTGGCCCACGTGGCGGAGGAAAAACTGCCAAACGTTACACTGGGGTGACCGACAGCTCCCAAACCAGAGTCAAACAAAACAAAGCCAAAACAGATTTAAAAAAAAACTCATGATTTTTAAACTAATCTCGTGACTTTTTTTCAGCCTGTCTCACGGTTTGGGGCTTTTATTGATTGCTTGGCGTTGGCGATGCAGTTAATGCACGGCCACTGAGCTTACCCAGGATCTCTGAAACTAACTAGCATGCCTGGATGATGAAACTAACCAGGTTTCCCTGCATTCTCACTCTTCGTCTATGCCACACCCGGGCAAAGTGTCTGTTCTGACTCCCAGCCTGTCTTACACATTGGAAACTGAGCCTGGGGACTGAAGGTCGCCATGTCTCGTGCCATGGTGCTTAATTCCACCGCGGCACCAGCGTAGGGCTTGGGGACGTCATTAGAAGCTGCAACATCCCCCCAAACCTGCAGCTGCAATCAGAGCCCAAGATGCTCTTTCGTAGCAGAGCTTTGAGGTGGGGGCAGGTCAGGTCTTTGCAAAGCAAACTGGGCTGAGACGGAGCCGAGGACTCTGTGTTGGATCAACCTTTAATACAGCTTGGGCTCAACAAGCCCATTAGTTTCTGGAACCCCATTAACCGAACCCTCAGCAGCTGCTAAGGCAGGGGAAGGAGCTGGCATCACAAAGGAACCAGCTTGGATTATTAGTAGGAATCAAACCCAGGACCTGTCTGCTGAAAGCACACAGCTCCGCTGCTGGAACTAAGGGAGTAACTCCATTAGCTAGTCATTGTAGCAGGCTGTTCGTATTCATAGATTCTAGGACTGGAAGGGACCTCGAGAGGTCATCGAGTCCAGTCCCCTTCTTCTTCGAGTGATTGCTCCTGTGTATTCCACAGTAGGTGTGCGTGCTCGCCACGTGCACCGGTGCTGGAAGTTTTTCCCTTAGCAGTACCCATAGTGGGGGAGCACCGCTGCGACCCCTAGAGTGGCGCCGCTATAGCGCACTATAAGGAGAGCTGCGCTCTTCCCCCACCCTCAGTTCCTTCTTGCCGCCAGTGAAGGTGGTCGGAACTTGTGCTCCAGCGTCGCTGCAGCCCTCTCTTCTCTAGCGGTACCGTTCGTCGGATCGTTTTCTCAACATTAGCGTGGACCCAGGGCATGCCCCGCGCTTCAGGCTTCAGGTCGTGCGACTTCTGTCACCGCTCTATGCCCAGGAGCGACCGCCACGCTGATCTGAATGCCAGGGGGAGGCAGCAGAACAGCTCTGCATGCTGATCCAAGCCTGCTCGTTCACCGGCCGACCCTTCGACTGTTTGGGTGGATAAATGTCTGTGATTTTATTGGCAAACTGTTGGCTCCGAAAACTTGACACTGATGTCGTACAATTGGTTGCCTGAGTCCCATGGTCCTTCTCTGCTTCCTGATTGGACGGCTGAAATGTTGGGTTAATAAGCAGGCGAATGCCGAATTTCAGCACTTCTTCTTGGCTGGGATTTCCGGGAGAATCGGTCATGGCCATTTCTGCACCGGCTGAACCGCTTCCCCCAACCCGCAGGAATGACTGACGATGCGCCCATCCCCCATGCGTCGCCACCAACTCAGTGCTGCTGTATGTGAAATGGTCACAAAGCGGGGGCCAGAGCCCCAGTGGTGTAAATTGGTGCAGCACCACTGACTTCAAGGGGTTTTCGTCCCAGCTCTGCTTCTCCAGCTCTCATTGCCCCAGACAGGACTGCAGGCACCTCAGGGGCTGGCCGGAACGAGTGCGTCTCTGCACGTACAAGCCAGGTCCCTAGGTAGAAAACCCCACTCCCTGCACGGGGGGAGTGACCTCGCTGCACCATGGAGCCCCGACATCCCCCGTGTATCCCCCTTTGCCCGGCAGCTGGTGTTACCCACGTTGGCAGCCTGGCGGGTGCACAGCCCTCCAGCGTTTGGCTAGATCGCGGCAGGGCTCTCTGTGCCCGGGCAGGGCAGGGCCCGTCTGTCAGATCAGACTCTCCACAGTGGTGAAAGGCCCCATGAGGCAGCGAGGACAGTGAAGTCCCCTCCGTTTGGGGCCGGATTAGTGAACCGTTGGGTGGCGACTCCGGCTGGGGCTATGCTGGGGGTCAGGCTGGGCGGGTCTCTTCCAGCTTCGGCTTCCACAGGCCAGATCGGCAGCGAGTGTCGAGCTGGCGTCATCCGTCCAAGGGCTCGGTGGATTCGCCCCACAGGGCCCTGGGCCTGGGGGTCACAGCAGGGTCCGGGAATGGACGTTGTCGGGCCGCTGCTCACTGTGCAGTGTTAGGAATAGGGGGATCCCCTGGATCCAGCTGCCTTCAAACAACCCGTTTACCAGCCGTGCAGGGCCTGGCTGCATGTCTGGGGTCTGCGGGCTTCTGCCATCGACCCCCGTGAGCACCACCAGAGAGCAAAGAAACTAGTTAAAAGGGACAGCACCCAATTCCCCTGTACTCCCCTGGGCGCAGCCCACCCACCCTTCTCCTAGTGCTCCATGAGAGGGGCGGGGCTGGGTGTATCCTGAATGGGGAGGGAACCCATCGGGCTGGGGTCTGTAACGCTGAGCATGGCGCCCTCTTCTGGCAACTAGCTCCAGTTCGGCGCCCCCTTGCTTCTCTTCTATTCATTAATAATCGGGAGGATGGCGTGGACTGCACCCTCAGCAAGTTTGCGGATGCCACTAAACTGGGAGGAGTGGTAGATACGCTGGAGGGTAGGGATAGGATACAGAAGGACCTAGATAAATTAGAGGATTGGGCCAAAAGAAATCTGATGAGGTTCAACAAGGACAAGTGCAGAGTCCTGCACTTAGGACGGAAGAATCCAATGCACTGTTACAGACTAGGGACCGAATGGCTAGGCAGCAGTTCTGCAGAAAAGGACCTAGGGGTTACAGTGGACGAGAAGCTGGATATGAGTCAACAGTGTGCTCTTGTTGCCAAGAAGGCTAACGGCATTTTGGGCTGTATAAGTTGGGGCATTGCCAGCAGATCGAGGGACATGATCGTTCCCCTCTATTCAACATTGGTGAGGCCTCATCCGGAGTACTGTGTCCAGTTTTGGGCCCCACACTACAAGAAAGGATGTGGAAAAATTGGAATGAGTCCAGCAGAGGGCAACAAAAATGATTAGGGGGCTGGAGCACATGACTTAGGAGGAGAGGCTGAGGGAACTGGGATTGTTTAGTCTGCAGAAGAGAAGAATGAGTGGGGATTTGATAGCTGCTTTCAACTACCTGAAAGCGGGTTCCAAAGAGGATGGATCTAGACTAGTCTCAGTGGTAGCAGATGACAGAACAAGGAGTAATGGTCTCAAGTTGCAGTTGGGGAGGTTTAAGTTGGATATTAGGAAAAACTTTTTCACTGGGAGGGTGATGAAGCACTGGAATGGGTTACCTAGGGAGGTTATCTAGGGAATCTCCATCCTTAGAGGTTTTTAAGGCCCGGCTTGATAAAGCCCTGGGTGGGATGATTTAGTTGGGGATTGGTCCTGCTTTGAGCAGGGGGTTGGACTAGAACCTCCTGAGGTCCCTTCCAACCCTGATATTCTATGATTCTATGATTGCAGCTCCCGGCATCGCAGCTGCCCCAGGTCTCGGCCATCCAGCCAGGTCACGCTGTGATCCCCATTCTGGGGGAGCCCTTCAAATTCAGACCCCTCTCTGCTATGCCTGCTAGCGAAACCCTCCGGGGCTCCTAGCCCCTCTCAGGGCTCCCTAGCCCCCCTTGACTCAGGCCCCCACCACTGGGCCCAGCCCGCGGGCTGTATAGAAGCCCCATGTGTCCCCTCCCAGGCGAGCTTCCTTCTAGCTAGCGCCCTGCACGCAGCCTAAGTCACTTCCCCTTTGCAGCTTAACTGGCTGATCGCCACCCCCCTACCCCTCCGCCTTAACCTTGCTCTGTCAGGGCTGGTGCAGGGAGGAGATCGCAGGGCCCTGGTCTGGAAAAGGTTGGGCCCCCCGATCTGGTGGGTGGGGGAGGGGTAGTTCCGCAGGGATTGGGGCACTACACGTAGCAGGGAAGAAAGGAGAATAGAATAAGGGTGTAAGCAGACAGACTGACAGACAGACCATGCCCCCTGCAATCGATGGGGGGTACCTCCATGGTCATTTGCCCCCCGTGCGCCCCCAGCCGTGCTGTGTGTGACACCCCCCGCCCTCCCCCCGCTTTCCCCTCTCAGACATCGATGAGTGCAAGAAGACCCCAGATATCTGCAGCCCCAACGCCACGTGTGTCAACACCCCCGGAAGCTACTGGTGTGAGTGCCGGGCCGGCTACGTCCCCTCCAACAGAAACACGACCCTGTGCCAAGGTGGGTCCTGCTTCTGGGGGCATGGAGGAGGCACCTGGGGGGCTGGGCAGGGCCTGGGGTTACACAGGCAGAGGTCTTGCCCGAGGGGGCAGCGAGCTGGGAACTGGTCTGGGACGGTGCGCCAGCCCCCCTGCCCCCCATGGACGGGGTCCCTCTGGGTCTCAGCCCTGGCCCGGAGCGGCTCAGCCTCCAGGCCCTCACCTCCCCCCAGCCCAGCCTGTGCATCCACTGGGGTGTTTCCGGTTGTCTCAGAGCCACAGCCACCAGCGTGCCCAGGTCTGGCTCTGGGAGCGGAGCAGGGGTCACTCCAGGGATGCCAGGGGCCGGGCATCTCTCCCCCCTGCAGCAGTGCCTGCATTCCTGCTGCACGGCTGGATTCTCTGCCCTGGGAAGATGGCAGCAGGGGGCGCAGTCTGTGCCTAGAGGCCACTGTGGGGCCAGTCCGGGGCTCCCTGATGGATTCACTCCCCCACCAACACACACCAGAACCACCCACAGCTGGGGGAGAGGGTTGAGGGGAGATACAGCTGGGATGATTCCACAGCCCCCGCCCCACCCCACTGCGGCTCAGTTCCCCTAGGACGGGGAGGGATCCTTTCACAGAGACCAGCTTGTGGGCAGAGGATGTGGACAAGGGGCTGGGCACATGTGTGGGGCTGAGTGTGTGTGTGTGGTGGGGTGGGGGGGGGGTGTCACTGCTCCCCCTGCTGGAGGGAGGGAGTCCTGCTCTGTGCCTGTCTCTGGTGCATGCACCTACCCAGCCAGACCCCATATTTCCCCCCCGCCGCCCATCTCTCATTCCTCCTCCCTTTCCATCCCCAGAGCTCACCTGCCCCCCGCTGCTGGATGATGACAACTCTGCCGGAACCAAGGTGAGTGGGGCACAGACCCCGGGGGGGGAGATAGACCCCGATTCCCCTTTAGTGCCACGTTGCTTTTCACTGATCTCGCCCCACAAGGATTCTGGGGCCAAACTCGCCCCTGGGCAAAGAGCCAGTGGCCAGTCCCTGGAGCCCCTGCAGTCCAGCCACGGCCTAGGCCTTTGCCCCGGGGTGATTCTCACCTTCCAGGATCGGCAGCATCAGGCTGCTGCAACTCGCTTCAGCTTGCAACCGCCGTCCCCCCCCATCCCTTGCAAACGCCGGCACCCCCTAGGGGCCAGACGGGGCATTGCCCGCGCCCCTCTGGCGCCTGGCTTCTGAGCCGAGGGAGCCTCTCGAGACCGGGGGAGGTGGGCTGCGAATCTGTGATCTCTTTTCCTGAGCTAGGCCTGGGCCTTGTTTTGCAGAACCTCCTGGGCAGCTTCCAGGCACAGGTGGGACGTCTCTGCAAGAATGTGCTGGAGGAGCTGAAGCAGATGAACTCTCAGAACGCCAAAGAGAAGCTGCAGGTGCCAAGCCAAAATTCGGGGCCTTGCTGGGTTTGTTCCCGTTAGGGGGAGGAATCGCTGCTACTACTCGGATCTAGTCTCAGGGCGATCTATAGGGATGCAGCACCTGGAACAGGAGATAAATAAACAGCAGCACTGCCCAGAAATTCCCATGCCTGCCTCTCCAGGGGGCTCTGTGCCCAAGAAGCTGCTCTCCTAGGTTTCTAGGCTAGACGGGACCATTGTGATCATCTAGTCTGACCTCCCAGGCAGCGATGTCAATTGCAGGAGAACTTGTCTTTCCTTTGAGGGGGATTGTGGGAAGGCAGTGGAGGACTAGCAATCTGGGAATGGGGGGCGCGGCAGGGGCTCAGGCACTGTGACACCAACA